ATGGGTAGAGCCCTTCCCAAATCTTCGTTCGCGAAGCCTAGCCATGAAAATGAATGGTGAAGTGAAACAGGGGGGTACTGCAGTCACCATCAACAGCTTCCTTACACTTCTAAGATGTGGTCGTCCAGCCTTTGGAACGAGTGGTGGGTGTCCGCAGTCCTGGGGGGGTCCGAGTCGCCCGGTCTGCCTTTTACCTCTCGATCCTCTCCTGATCTGCGCCGATGGAACAAGTGCTCCCAGCTGCTCACGCCTCTCACCTCACCGCCGCGGAGGACGTGAGCGGGTGGGCGTAGGAGGCTGGGCGAGGGGCGCAGCTCCTCCGCGCACACCCCGGCAGCGGGTGGGCTGAGAGGGAGCGCGGTAGGTGCCTCCGCGCCTCCGCCCCTCCCTTCCTCCTCCCTCCCTCCCTCCCGCGGCGCATCCTCCCGCCCCCCGCCCTCGCCTCTCCCCGGCACTCGTCGCTTGCGGGGCTGCCGCCGGGGGTGGTGCCAGCAGCGCCGGCCCGACCCCCCGCCTCGGGATGTGCTGAGCAGGGGCAGCTCCCCTCGGGCCTCTCCGCGCCTCGCCCACCGCCTGCCCGTTCTCCCCGCCGCCCCTCGCCTGCTCGGAACGGGTCGCGTCGGGTCGGTCGCCGGTGGCGGAGGATCCCGGCGGTGAGTGCGGGACAGGGCGGGGCGGCCACCGGCCCCGGGGGGCGGAGGGGGGGCTCGGGGGGCGTGGGGGCCTCTCCGGGCTCGGGCGGGGGGGGAGCGGCTTCGCTGCGCGTCGGTGCTGCCGGGACTGAGCTGTGTCTGTGGAGCCGTGCGGGATGCGCGTATGTGGGTATGAATATATAGATATAGTTATATCTATATATGTAATATCTATCTATCTGTCTGTCCATCTCTCCATCTGTCCATCCATCCATCTGTCCATCCATCCATCTGTCCATCCATCCATCCATCCTTCCATCCATCCATCTATCCATCTATCTATCTGTCTGTCTGTGTCTGTCTATCTATCTCTCTCTCCATATAGCTAAATTTCCTGTTGAACGTCCTCGTGTGGGCACGGGGGAGGGAGGAGAAGCCGGGCGCCGTGGCCGCCTTGTGCCGACGGCGTGTCCGCGGGAGCCCGTGGGTGCTCACACGGTCGCGCCGCCCTGCCCTGCTCGGTAGGTACCTCTCTATGTGTATGTATGGATGTACGTATATGTATGTTTGCACATCTGTATGGGCACGGCGCCCTGCACTCTCCCTCCCTCCCTCCCTCTGCAGGTGCCTGTGTGCTGTGTGACACACCCCGGTGCCGCACGCCCGCGGTCCCCAAATGTCCCCGCACCTGTGGTCGCGGTGCTGCCCTGGGGGCGGGTTTGCGGACACCCTCGATGGAGGAGTCGGAGGGTCCCACGGGCTGGGTCCTGCCTCCGCCCCGTCTCTCTGTATAAAGCACCCCCCCTTCGCCATCCCCAGGGTGACAGGTACTGTAGGCAGTTTGGCTGGAGCACAAACACTGCCTTTCTTCACACGCTCGTCACGAGTTAGTAGAAAGCTGCGACAGCCCAGATGCCTTCCTAGACATCCATTCCTCCTACTCAGGCTCTGGCAAAGAAGAAAAGATAACAGGCAGCACTTCTGTCTGTGTGGGTGGAGGAAGAGAAAGGAGTATTGATGATGGATTTGTTGAAGGGACACTAATTCTTGGTTTTAATTACTATTTTAGTGGTTTCAGTGCAGCGCTGTGCTGCATAGCTGCCACAGAACTCACTTGGTAGCTTTAGTTCAGTGCTTTTAAAACCTTGCATTCTTCCTTCTGCTTTTTAGTAAAATCTTTTCTCGGTCCTGATGCATGCAAGGAACCCAGTCAGGAAAGCTCAATTTCCAGAAGAGGGACGTGGACTGTGTGCAAAATGCTGAACAACTGGAAAAGCAGCATCTTCTATTTGCTACAGTCCTTCTGGGTTGTAATGGCAATTTCCTACAACAAGTGAACATTTGTCATTCAGGCGGGATTTTGGTTAATGTGGTTTGTTTTGCAGGTTGGTCTGTTTGTTTGGGGATTTTTAAGTTGCTGGTGTGTTTTTAAGTTGTTTTTTTTTTTTTTCTCTGAATGAGAGGTGGAGTATCATTAAATGCAGGGCTAGATCTTGCAATCAGCACATGAACAGAACCATCCTTTGGAAGGAATGATGCCTTGGTAGACAAGGAAGGAACTCATATCCATCTTCCAACCAGTACTGCATTATTGGCAACCTCTCTTAGGATTCTCTGGAAACAGGATCTCTGTTTCCTATAGCTACATAATATAGAGGTATAAATAATATAATTTTTAAGTAATTGTGTTCCCATTCAGTTGGAATAATTTTTTTCCCCTTTCTGGGATAAAAAACTTAAACAATCTTATTGAAAGTGTACTGTCTTTTTTTTTTTCTCTAGAACTGTGTGAAGAAAGTCTTCAGCCATGGATGTGTTCATGAAGGGACTTTCCAAGGCAAAGGAGGGAGTCGTAGCAGCAGCAGAAAAAACCAAGCAGGGTGTGGCAGAGGCGGCAGGAAAGACGAAAGAGGGAGTCCTCTATGTGGGTAGGTGGGCAAAGGAGACCACAGTGCTGGTTGGTGTACACAGACATTCACAGCTGGATCCTCATCAGACCTAGTATTCTGAAAAAAAACCCCCTAATCACTCATAGGAGACCATTGCAAAACAAACAAGAGGAGAGTTGTGCCTCCTGAGCTCCAGTTCTTTAAAATCAAGTGTTGGTTCTTGTGTCACATGCTGGCCACGTGTCACTGCTCTGTGGAGCCACATCTGTTAGCACCAGACTGAATGAGATTATATCATGGGAGGTGCCTTGCAGTACAGGACACTGGCTGGTTATTCTATTCAAGAAGTTTGCCATGTTAAGGCTGAAGGGGTAGTTGGCACAGTAAAAATAAATTAAAAAAATATAAAAGCTGAAGTGGAAGGTAACTTGACAGCATTCTATAGAACGTGGAGTTTAAATAGGATTTTAAGAGAAGACACTTGAGAGGTTAATGCAGGAATTGAGGATTAGACAGGCTGACTGATTGACATGTTGACAGTAATGTTTTGCATGGCAAAGTGTCATCTCCTCATCGTTTGAAGTTAACTTCATCTTTTGTACTTACTATTGCAAATTCCTAGTATTTCCATGACTTCTCCAAGAATAACAACTACAGTTAATGGGATAGGGCAGATAGACCCCAAGGTAGCAAAGCAGTTATTAAGTGTCATTCTAGGACGCAAAAGTCTTGCATAGAGGCAGGGATAAAATTCTTTTCAAATCCCAGATTGGTACTTTTATGCATGATAGTCACCTTCATTTTAGCAAGTATTGGGCTTTAGAGGACTGTCTTGCAAATCATCATGGCTAGGCTTCGCGAACGAAGATTTGGGAAGGGCTCTACCCATTTTTCATGCAAGCGCGTTGGTGGCTGAAAAGGCCAATACGAGAAAGGCAGGTCCGGTTGCAAAAGACACAGCAGAAAGACTCCTTAGATGGTATATTCTGCAAGGTTCGATTCTTTCTGCGTTGTCTTTTCTCCTCAAGAGTGATCCTGCGTGCCTTCTCAAAAGCATCAGCAGCGTTATAAATGGTCTGTCTCCAGGCCTCCCGATTAGAGGCCAGAGTGGACCAGTTATGGTGATCAATATGCCCGAGGCTGAGTTGTTGCTTCAGGGAGTCCTTGTATCTTTTCTTTGGAGCTCCTCTCTTGCGGCAGCCAGTGGCAAGTTCACCATAGAGCAGGATCTTAGGGAGGCGGTGGTCCTTCATCCTAGAGATGTGCCCTGCCCAACGCAGTTGCGTTCTCAGGAGCATGGCCTCAATACTTGTGATTGCTGCCTGTTCGAGAACAGATGTATTGGTCACATAGTCTGACCAATGGATGTTAAGGATTGTACGGAGGCAGCGTTGATGGAAGCGTTCTAGGAGACGCAGGTGGTGGCGGTAGATGACCCATGATTCGGAACCATATAAAAGAGTAGACAGCACTATGGCTCTGTAAACACTGATCTTGGTGCTTTTCTTCAAGTGTTTATTACGCCAAACTCGTTTATGGAGTTTTCCAAAAGCACTGTATGCCTTCGCTAACCTATTGTCTATCTCCCCATCAATCTTACCATCTGAGGAGATGAGGCTGCCTAGGTAATTAAACTGTTGGACTGAATTGAGTTCTGACTGGCCGATGGTGATGTGGGGACGGTGGGGGACTTCCTGAGGTGCAGGCTGATGGAGAACTTCTGTCTTCTTTAAGCTGACTTCACTTCACCAAAGCCATAGAAAATCTCCCCAAGCATCTAGTTGCTTTTTCATCTACTTCCAAATCTTTGACCCTAAATGACTGCAGTTCA